TCCTCTTATAATAATCTTGGCTGTCTTCAGGAACAACCTCAGGCCCACCTGCCTTTGTGGAGGACAGTCTGATATCAATCATTCCAGGACCACTGTTCGGCCCTGGGCATCTAGAGGGGGGCCTCAGATTCCCAGTGTTTCCTCAGGAGACCTTGCCTCTCTGCTTCTGCTCTGTGGCCTCTGCAGCCTCCTGCTCAGCTCCCTGCTCAAGGCCCTGGCTCTTTAGCACCCTACCCCACCGCTCAGTCCCAGGCTTCCACCTACCTACACCTGGTCCTGGAGCCCTCTTGGAGTCTACCTCTTGGAGTCTACCTCTTGGAGTCTACCCGCTGTCCCCGGATCATCCAACTCTCTAACCCAGCTTTTAAAAAAGAGAAGTGAGAAATTATTTAAAGATTTATCTTATGTATATTTGTGTGCCAAGTGTGAGGCCAGATTCCCTTGGAGCTGGAGTTATAGACGGTTGTGACCTGCATTGAGAGTATGCTAGGAACAGAACTGGGTCCTCTGGCAGAGCAGCCAGCAAGTGTTCTCAGCACCTGAACCATCTCTCCAATCCCTGAAATTCTGTGTCCATATACGTGTGTGTGTGTGTGTGTGTGTGTGTGCGCGCACGCACTCAGGAGACACAGCATGTTTGTGGAGGTCGACAGAGTCAGTTCTTTTCTTCTGCCGTGTGGATCCAGAACTGAACTCAGCTAGGCAGGCTGGGCAGCAAGTGTCTTTACCCACTTGGCCTCTCTTTCTGAGAATCGTAAAATCCAGTCTCACTGATAGAGCACACAAAAGTCCCTCATCTCTTCATAATATAACCGCTTGGAGAGAAGACTTCCCAAAACAGAGGCCTGCTTACCCTCCTTAGAGCGGAAAAGTGCCTTTCATTCTTCCTAAGGCATCCACAGTAGCGAGAACAAATGGGAGGTGATCCCCAGCCGATTACTCTGCTACCATCCATGCACTGACATCTCTTAACCAGAGAAGAGAGAAAGGTGCAGAGAGAAGGTTGTACCTGTATTGTAATCATGGATGTTGCAGTCTCCTTGATAGCCACAGGGACAACTTAAGGACAGATACCCCAGATTAAAAAGTTTTGTGTTCCAGGCTGGGCGGCGGCGCACGCCTTTAATCCCAGCATGTGGGAGGCAGGGCCAGGAGGATCTCTGTGAGTTCGAGGCCAGCCTGGGCTACAGAGTGAGATCCAGGACAGGTGCAAAGCTACACAGAGAAACCCTGTCTGGAAAAACCAAACCAAACCAAACCAAACAAAACAAAAACCAAACCTGACCAAATATGACCAGCTGAATAATTGCAGCTCTTGAGTCCCAGCTGCCCTTTGACACAGTGCCTCACCTGGGCTAAAAATGAGCCGGCTTTGCTTAGCTGACTACAGGGAGGGATGCTCCATCCCAGCAGGACAAGCCAGAGGAGGCCTCTTCAGCCAGATCTCTTTTAGGACTGGGGACAAGTTCTTCATCCCTTCCCTAGGACACAAACCAGTGCTTAGAAATGCACTCGGTGATCTCAGTAACAAACAATGAGGTATGCTCTTGAGTCAGAGAAATGTAATTCCAGTCATCTGTGTGAGTAAGTTCAAGGGATCCCAATCACAGCCGGCAGGGTTTGAGGGAAAGGTACCTAATAACCAACACACGCGTTTCTGAAAAGTAGATCCTCCCAATCAGGAGATGAATTCTCCCCAACCCTTGCCTTATTATCATTTTGAAACAGCATCTCATATAGCCCAGGTTAGCCTCAAAATCATTACAAAGCTGAGCATGACCTTGAACTCTGGCTCCTCTTGCTTCTTCCTCTGGGGTGCTGCGATGTTAAGTGTGTTGCCACCACACCTGGTTTTATGTGTCGCCGGGCATAAAGCTCAGAGCTTTGACCGTGACAGGCAAACACCGCACCAGCTGAGCCACATCCCCAGCCTCCTTGACTTACTTATGGATCGTCGCTGAAACGTAGTGGGAAGCAAACCCTCGGACTGGAAAGATCCCTGTCAGTGCTAAACAAAGACGCAGTTGTGCACAGCTTAGATGTAGAGTTGTCCTCCCTGGGGGAGTTTTGGGGAAGAAGAGGACTGTCACCCAGCCAAGGGCAGACTCCTCGGAGAAGGGAACTGTGGGGGAAATGCACTTCTCTGTCAAAGGCAGAGTCCAACAGTGAGGGGCCAGGCAGGGGTGGACGCCAATGCCGCTGAGTTGAATTCCTATAGCACAGGAAACCCCAGCATTTCACAGAGGACAAGGGAAGCCGGGAGAAAATTCTGCACTCAGCTTACACAATGGGCCCAGAGACAGAAGTCTGAAAAGAACTTTCAGCCAATGAAAAAGGAGGTGAGGAACACCATTTCTGTTCAAACCTTCACTGAGCTTTGTCTAGAACCAGCAGTGACTCTGCTAAGCCCTGGGGTGTACTGTGAGAGAGATCTGGTCTTGACCCCTGCGGGGCCTCTAGAACATTGAGAGAGACAGGCGTTCATCAGTTCCTCACACAGAGACAATCGTGAGCTCCAGCAGTCTTCAAACTTCAGCCGCCCCCGGCTGCTGGCAGGGCATTGCCTCAGCCACATTCGATGTTCTTTCACTACCGTTGAAGATGGATCCAGTTCCAGCAGGATAGCTCTCCTGTCATATCCTGTCCAAGAGGCAATCTGTCTTTATTGAGTAGGATTAAGTCGCAGGACTGGAGTGCATACAGTTCGGTTGTAGAGCATTTTTCCAGTACATGGAGGTCCTGGGTTCAGTCCCTAGTCACAGACACAGACACAGACAGACAGACACACACATAGTTAAATTTTTTTGTTGTTTTTTGTTTTTCGAGACAGGGTTTTTCTGTGCAGTTTTGGTGCCCATCCTGGATCTTGCTCTGTAGACCAGGCTGGCCTCAAACTCACAGAGATCCGCCTGGCTCTGCCTCCCGAGTGCTGGGATTAAAGGCGTGCGACACCACCGCCCAGCCTTGCTGAATTTTTTTGAGGGAGTCCAGTGATTTATTTTAAAATGCCTGACATCCTCAAACACTGCTGGGGCATAAATAACCTTTTGGAAAAATCAAGAGCCTTCGACCTTGACTTCTAAGGATTCTATTTTATTTCTAATATAGTGTAAGACAAAAATACTTATGTGTGTTTGTGAGGCATGAGTGTATGCACAGGGATGGGAGTGTACTCACTTTTGCATGGGTATGTGGAGGCCAGATATTACTTTGGGTGTCTTCCTGTGTCATCCTCTACTCTCACAGGACCTACAGTTGCCGTTTTCAGACAGACTGGCCAGCAAGCCCTGGAATCTGCCTGTCTCCATCCCTCCCCGCTGCTGGGGCTTGGAGAGATGACTCATGGGTTAAGAGCACTGGCTGCTCTTCCAGAGGTCCTGGGTTCAATTCCCAGCAACCATGTGGTTGCTCGAATCTGCCTGTCTGTAACTTCAGTTCCAAGGGACCCAACACCTTCATCTGTCCTCCTTGGACACCAGGCAAGCACATGGTACACAGATATACACACAGTTAAAACACCCCTACACAGGACATTAAAATTAAAAATATCAACTGGGAAAGGGACATTAATGGTGCATGACTTTAATCCCAGCACTCGAGAGGCAGAGGCAGTTGGATCTCTATGAGTTTGAGGCCAGCCTGATCTACATAGAGAATTCCAGGACAGTCAAAACCACATAGAATAGACCCTTTCTCAAAAAATAAAAGAAAGAGGGAGAGAGAGAGAGAGAGAGAGAGAGAGAGAGAGAGAGAGAGAATTAAAAAGCAGTTGTAGCTGAGTTTTTTAATGTTGTTTTGTTTTCGAGACAGGGTCTCACTCTGTAGTCCAGACTGACCTGGAATTCACTATGTAGCCCAGGCTCTCCTTGAACTCACTGTGATCCTCCTGCCTCAGCTCAAGTGCTGGGATTACAGGCAGAAGTACCACACTCAGCTGGGTCTTCTTATGGAGTCTAGCCTCTTCCAGCAGTCCTCTCTTCTCTGTTCCAGGTTCAGGAAGGAAGGGCAAAGGCCTGTGAGGCAGGGCCAAGCCTTTGGTCTTGTAAGCTTGGAGGATCAGCCTGGCACTCCTCGGAAACCGCCTCTACTAAACCAGCCACCCCTCCAGCCTTGGCCACCTTTTCAAGGTGTGGCAGGCATGCAGGTGAACTTCATACATGCAGCCACGGCTAGGCAAGGAGGCATGCCATCCCAGGGCCTCAGGAGGAAGCAAATTGCTCTGAGAGCAGAGAAAGATGCCCAAGGAAAACTGAGACTCGGGCAGAAATGCCCTGGAGACCTCGTCTTGTCTCTCTGCCCTGGAGACAGTCACTCCCGGCAGCCACTGTGCCCCTTTTTCTTCCCTACAAGGATTTGGGGTAACAGAGAAATCAGAAGGGAATCACAAATATGATTCACAACCTTGAGTGGGCATGGGTGGGCGGGAGTGCTACCTGGCTGGTGGTTGTGGGGAACCAATGCCAGCCTTGCCAAGAGGAAGAGGAGGCCTGACCAGAGGTTCCAAGCCCCCACCCACCCACCCCAGTGTTTCATACGTTTTTGGGTAAAGAAGTTTGGGATATTATTTCCAACCAATGCACTGGTCAAAGTCCCAGGCAAAAATGAAGTTCAGGTTACCCACCATGTGTTGGAATCCCTCCACACTGTAAAATCCCTCCATCCATGAAGGCTGCTTCCCTCTTAGGAATTCAAAATCCAAGCCACTGGGTGGGGAACAGAGCCTCCAACAAAGGCGGGCACGTGAGTAATCACCCAGTACCGAAAGCCAGCATCCGGGGGAGGTGGCAGCGGGTGAGGCCCCGGGGACAGGGCTGAGGCCCCGGGGACAGGGGCGTCTGTCCAGGGGTTGGAGGCAGCAGGGGAAAAGCCAGGCAGTAATGCAGGGAAGGCCTGCGCCTGTCTCCAAGCTACTTCTGCGGCAACGAGACAAAAACAGTGAAGGAGAAACTGAAAGAGTCGGGATTTATTTTTCACCTGCACATAATGTTTGAACATATTTATGTATTTATGGGGCATGGTACAACGATTCTATAAACACAATCAATGTGTATTGATTAAATTAGGAGGATCACCATGTCCATATCCTCAAATATTATTTTTATTTTGTTTACTTATTCTTTCTTTTTCTTTTTTTTTCTTTTTTTTTTTTTTGAGATAGGGTTTCATATACCCCAGGCTGGCCTCAAACTAGCTATATGGCCGAGGACAACCTCGAACTCCCAAAACTCCCAATCTTCCTGCTTCCACCGCAACATGTCCTAAATGCTGGGATTATAGGTCTGTGATTCCACTCCCAGATGGTTTTACTAATTAATTCATTACTAATTAATTCATTATGTGAGAGTGCTGGTGGAGGTAAGAAGACAACTTGTGGAGTCCGGTCTTTATGACTTTAAAAAGGGATGATATTCCATAGCTCAGGCTCGTCTGGATCTTGCTATGTATGTAGTTCATGCTGAACTCAAACTCTTCCTGCCTCAGCCTCCCAAGTGCGGCGATTACAGGTCCATGCCACTACTCAGCTCTGGACCGTGTTGGGGACCTTTGGACTTTTCTGGTTGTTATGAAATGTATGGGATGAGAGATGCAGCTGAGTTGGTGGAAGGCCAGGCGAGCTCCAGCACAGCAGAAAACGGTGTGGCGGTGCTTGTCTCGTCCATCATCTTGTCTCACTGTGAACAAAATGCCTGGGCAGAGGAAGGGAAGAAAGGTACTTTTCGATTCATGGTTTCCAGTTCCGGTTCACCATGGCAGGGGAGGGATCACAGAGTTCATGGTGGCAGGAGCATGTGTCAGGGACTCTTCACAGCACAGTGGGCAAGGGAGCCTAGAGCAGCTGGACCCGGGGGGATCATGCTATAACCACTGAAGGCCAGCTCCTAGTGACCATCTTCCTGCAGCCAGGCTCTACCTCTTAAAGGTTCAAAGGCCTTCAAAGCAATGCCACCAGCTGGGGAGCGAACAGGCAAGATACGACTCTGGGGGGGGCACATTTCAGATTTAAACCACAGCAGAAGCCTAGGCACTGGACAAAGAAAAAAAAAGCAGTCACCTGGAATTAATAAACAGTGCATCTGCCACTGACACAGTAATGAGATGAAATAGGAATCTCAGATAGTTTAGATACATCTTAGCTTAGTGTAGATACATAAAGCTTTGCTTTAGGCCCAAAGCAAAACACTGACCTTTTAAGTGACGGTCTTAGCTCTATCAGAAACATTAACACTGAGTCCTGGCCAGTCCTCCATGCCCCTTACTGCAGTTGAGAGCCCTTCGCCAGCAGAGGCCTGCTTGGGATGTCTGGTGGTCTCTAGACGCCTTTTCTAGCCTGAGGGAAGGTAGCTTGGCATCTTCGTAATCAAATCGTGACAGGTGCTGAGGCAAATCAGAGCCAGGCCTGCCATCAGACCACCTAGGCGAACCTGAGGCTCTGACGAGCAGTAACGGGCAAGTCTGGTTGGAACCTCCGTTCTGGGTCTTCAGATGTGGTGATGACAGCTTTGGTAAGCTCTCGGTAGGAGAAGAGGAGGAGGAAGAGGAGGAGGAGGAAGAGGAGGAGGAGGAAGAGAAGGAGGAGAAGAAGGGGGCGCATGTGACTGCAGAGGCCCCCTCATGTTCCCTCCTTGTGAGGAGATGAAGAAGCTGGGTCTGGGCCAGCAGCTGTGCAGAAGGCCTAGATCCTGGCCCAACCACTGACCAGGTAGCCAAAATGCTGGGATAGCAGCGTTTTTAATGTTTTTTACCAAACAGTCAGAATCAGTCAGTCATCATACAGTTTGGCAAAAATCATGATTCTCTTTTCCCCACCTATCATTACCAGCTGTCAGCTGAATCTGTGCACCATCTGAATGAGGCCAAAGGCTTTCAAACACCAGTGTTGCCAGAGCACCCTGGGGCCAGGGCTCTAGCAACATCGGTAGAGTCTGACTTTAGTCCCTCCCTCTGTTCATCCGTCCGTCCGTCCATCCATCTGTCTGTCCGTCACTCCCTCCCTCCTTCCCCCTTTTCTTCCTTTCCTTTCCTCCTCCCTCCTGTAGCTCAGGCTGGCCTCAGGCTCCTCTGTATTTGTGGCTAGCCTGGAGTTCTGATCCTCCTGTGTCTATTTCCCAAGGGCTGGCATTACAGATATATGCCACCATACCTGGTTTATGCAGTGCTGGGGATGAACTCCAGGGCCTCCAGCGTGCTAGGCTAATAGTCTACTACCTGAACCACACCACACCCCAGCAGTCTGCTTTCTTCTGCTTTAGTCAACGAAGCAGATTCGTACATCTCACGTTCCCCTTATGTAACCTCATTCATCTCCCCCCCCCCACTGTAAGTACACCCTCCCCTTGCTGACCAAAAGGTGTGTGTGTGTGTGTGTGTGTGTGTGTGTGTGTGTGTATGTGTGTGTGCAAGTGTACGCAGGTGTGTTTGCACATGGGTGCTCATATTTGAACCCAGAACTCCTTGCATATTAGGGAGTTCTTGACTTACTGAGTGATGTCCCCATTCCATTTTTTACTTTTTGTTTTGAGGTAGGGTATCACTAACTTGCCCAAGCTGGCCTTGAACTCTCTCAGTAGCCTAGGCCGAGCCTCAACTCCTAAATAGCTTGGAACACCATGCCTGGCTCTTTTGATTTTTGTCTTTGTTTGTTTTTGTTTTTTGAGACAGGGTTTCTCTGTGTAGCTTTGGAGCCTGTCCTGGAACTTGCTCTGTAGACCAGGCTGGCTTCGAACTCACAGAGATCCGCCTGCCTCTCCCTCCTGAGTGCTGAGATTAAAGTTGTTTGCCACTGCTGCCTGGCTGATTTGTTTTGTTTTTGTTTGTTTGCTTGAGAGAGTAGTATGTAACCCAGGCTGACTTTGAACTTATGTAGCTGAGGCTGGCCTTGAATTCCTTGGTCCTCAAGCCTCTGAGCCTCTGCCTCCCAAATGCACCACCAGCCACCCTGTCTGGCTCTTAGCCTACTTCTAATTCAAAGTAAAGAATTACATGTTAAGCTGTCTACTCGCTGTGTGTACTCTAGGAAGTGAGCAGATAGATTCCCTTATATGCTCAGGGATGGAGCTGGGGTTGAGATTTGGGATCCCAAACCTCATTTATTCCTCTTCCTAGAGTTCAGCCAGACTGGAGTATGAAAGGCAAAAGCCCTAATTCCACACCTTCTGCCTTTGGAGCAAAGATGGCCGCTTTCGAAGCAAAACGTATGGCGAGGAGGGCAACCACCAGGCTCAAGGGGTCGCAGGGAGCCGGGGCCATCTCAACTGCCCAGCACCAGCAAGACAAAGACGCCATGTCTGCTCATGTGGGCAAGGCTAGGCGCCTTTGGCTGCAGTGGGTGGCCTCCGATGGGCATCTGTATTTGCTTTCGGGGCACCTTGACCTGCAACAGCCCAAGGCTGGGAAAAGAGGGCTAGATGCACATTTGGTGGGAGACACTGGCAGAGAGGGCACAGTGGTGTGATCACCCTAAGAAAAGCTATGGCTCTTCTCAGAAGATGAAGAGATAAGGGCCCTCTGAGGAAGCTTCCTCCTTCCCTACCCACAACTGGCTCTCCCTGGCCCCCAGGAGAGAGTGTTCTGTCAGCCTCTGTCCCTGATGGAGCAAGGAAGAGGAAGTTTATTTTATTTATTTATTTATCTAGCTAGCTAGCTTTTTTTTTTAAATTTTTATTTACTTTTATTTTATGTGCATTGGTGTTTTGCCTGCAGGTCAGATCTTTGAGTTACAGACAGTTGTTAGCTGCCATTGTGGGTGCTGGGATTTGAACCCAGGTCCTTTGGGAGAGCAGTCAGTGCCCTTAACCACTGAGCCATCTTTCCAGCCCCCTCTATTTATTTTGTTTGTTTGTTTGCTGCAACAACAGCTCACTCTGCAGTTAGGTTAGTCTGGAACTCACCAAGTTCATAATGACATTAATTTTGTTTGTTTGTTTTTTGTCTGTTTTTTGAGACAGGGTTTCTCTGTGTAGCTTTG